TGGTGACTAATAAGGAGCTTCTTTAGTGTGTTGTTGGTCATTGGTGCATCTTCTTTGAAGAAGTGTCTGTTCAAGCTCATTGTCTATTTTTTAGTTGTTTTTTGCTTTTGCTATTCAGCTGTAAGTTTTTATACATTTTAGATACTAGATCCTTATCATGTATATATTTCCTCCCATTGTGTAGGTTTCTCAATTAGTTTTCTTGATAATGTCCATTGTTGCATAAAGTATTTAATTTTGATGAAGTCTTAGTTATTTGCACAAAATTTCAAGGGACCCCCTCAATAACCAAACAGTCTTGAAAAAGAAGAACAAAGCTGGAGGCTTCACACTTACTAATCTCAAAACAACTACAAAGCTACAGTAGACAAAACAGTGTGGTACTGGCATGAGGGTAGATACATAGGCAATGGGATGGAGTCGAGAGTACAGAAATAAACTTCCACATTTGTATTTAATTGATTTTGACAGGGGGTCAAGACTCTGCAATGAAGAAGGAATCATCTCTTTAACAGGTAGTCCTTGGACAATGGGATATCCACATGTCCAAGGGTGGAGTTGACCCTTTATTACATCATATACAAAAATTAAAACTCAGGCTCTAACTCTTAGAAGAAAGCATAGGGGTGACCTTGGATTTGGCAATGAATTCTCAGGTATAACATCAAAAGCACGAGTAACAAAATAGTTCTTGATTGTTTGAAGGAATCTTTTCTAGCCACTTGCCAGTTCTGTAAACTTTTATTTGGCTAAAACTAGAAAACGACCTGCTCTAATGTGGGGACAGTGAGGGGAAGGGCCCGGCTGCACACGGCAGCCCGTGAAGCCGCGTGCCTGGCACCGAGCACTTGCCCCTGTGCGCAGAGCTCGTGTGACTGCCTTCGTCCTTGGGTGCCTGCTTCCCTGCAGGGGCAGCGTGCTGCATTGGGCAGAGGGTCAAACTTGGTGACGTGACCTTTGACTGAGATGGTGACATTGTTTGCATTCAAATGACTTTCCTTCTCAGTCCCTCACATCAGCAGAAAGGCGCAGTGCAGTCAGGCTCTGGGAGCCTGAGAGCGTCACCAGGCGCATTTTATTGGCTCCTGGGGACCCTGCCTGTCGTGCTTCTCCAAATGGAGCATTTCCAGGTGGACACCAGTGAAGCTTATTTCCGTGCCTAAGCTGTGGGCTCATGTGTCTCTTGGTGATGAAACCCTTAAAGAATGATTGACTCTGCCCCTCCGTCCCAGGAAATGCCCGTTTCTCTCTGTGGGGCTCATTCCTGCAGAAAGTGAGAGCCTTGGAATGAGGTCCTGAGATGCCCTCCTGCCCGATCTGTAGCGGTGGCTCCATTACCTGGGTGCAGATGTGTCACCTGCGTCAGCACCTGCACTAACACTGCCTGGGTGGGTGGGTGTCACCCTGACACCCGAGACCAGATTCCTGAAAAACGATTCTGCTGCTTTGGGGAAATATGAGCCACGAAGGTTAAACTCTTCCTATGATCAGGCTACGTTTCCCACTAAGAAACAAATCTCATTTTTAGGTTCAGCTAAGAAGGTACATGAAATGAATTTTTAATTAAAATGAGATTCTTAAATTATAAAAAAGTAGGCTTTCTTGCCTAGAAAATTTACACTTTGTCAAAAACTGTTTCTTAATTTTTTTTAAAGATATCCTTACTGACATGCTAGCAGGAATAGTCCTTGTTTCTACTTAAATGACCCATTTACCTTTTATTAGTAGTAGTTTTAGATATAGGCTGTCAAGGACCAACCTTAAATATGGAGTTTGTTTAAAGTTAATAAAGTTTAAATGTTATAATAAAGACAAATGTATCTTAGGAGAAGGCACCGTGCAGGACCGAGGCAAACGCTGAGCAGAGGCTTGCTAGTGAGCATCGTGGGGTGCCTTTGAGCTTGGGTTGCGGGTGGGCCTTGGGGCAGGACAGTGCGCCGGCTGCTCTAGGTCTTTACTTTCGATGTGCTGAACTTTTCCAATCTGTGATTTCTCTGTTTTAACTACTTGTTTTTGGTAAAAGACTCAATTCTAATACAGAGAAAACTTGCTTTAACTAAGATGCTCCTCTTGGCTCATCCACCAGAATCAAGTTTCTTCCAAATGGCAACTTTGGTGACTCAGGAAATCAAAATGAACTTCCCAGAATTCAGGCCTCATAGACCTAGGAAATCAAAATGAACTTCCCAGAATTCAGGCCTCATAGACCTAGGAAATCAAAATGAACTTCCCAGAATTCAGGCCTCATAGACCTAGGAAATCAAAATGAACTTCCCAGAATTCAGGCCTCATAGACCTAGGAAATCAAAATGAACTTCCCAGAATTCAGGCCTCATAGACCTAGGAAATCAAAATGAACTTCCCAGAATTCAGGCCTCATAGACCTAGGAAATCAAAATGAACTTCCCAGAATTCAGGCCTCATAGACCTAGGAAATCAAAATGAACTTCCCAGAATTCAGGCCTCATAGACCTAGGAAATCAAAATGAACTTCCCAGAATTCAGGCCTCATAGACCTAGGAAATCAAAATGAACTTCCCAGAATTCAGGCCTCATAGACCTAGGAAATCAAAATGAACTTCCCAGAATTCAGGCCTCATAGACCTAGGAAATCAAAATGAACTTCCCAGAATTCAGGCCTCATAGACCTAGGAAATCAAAATGAACTTCCCAGAATTCAGGCCTCATAGACCTAGGAAATCAAAATGAACTTCCCAGAATTCAGGCCTCATAGACCTAGGAAATCAAAATGAACTTCCCAGAATTCAGGCCTCATAGACCTAGGAAATCAAAATGAACTTCCCAGAATTCAGGCCTCATAGACCTAGGAAATCAAAATGAACTTCCCAGAATTCAGGCCTCATAGACCTAGGAAATCAAAATGAACTTCCCAGAATTCAGGCCTCATAGACCTAGGAAATCAAAATGAACTTCCCAGAATTCAGGCCTCATAGACCTAGGAAATCAAAATGAACTTCCCAGAATTCAGGCCTCATAGACCTAGGAAATCAAAATGAACTTCCCAGAATTCAGGCCTCATAGACCTAGGAAATCAAAATTCATTTCCCAGACTTTAGGCCGCATAGACCTAGGAAATCAAAATTCATTTCCCAGAATTAAAACTGCATAGACCTAGGAAATCAAAATCCACTTTCCCAGAATTAGGGCCACATAGACCTAGGAAATCAAATTTATTTTCCCAGAATTCAGGCTGTATGGATGTAGGAAATCAAAATTCACTTTCCAAGAATTCAGGTCTCATAGACCTAGGGTGCCTCTAGGCTGATTTTCAGTATTTAAAAGTCTCATTTTTCATACTTTATTCCAAGACACACATTTTTATATTTTGTGACGCTTTGGCATGAACAGTCCGCTCCCTTGCCTTGGTCCTTTCCTCCTGCGTCTGTCTGTGTGTACTGTGCTTAAAGTGACTGTAGCGGCAGTTTAGTCCAAACAAATTCAAGGAAAGGCAAAGAGAGGGTGGAGTTAAAGTCGTTGCAGACAGTCTTCCTAGTTGGGTGAGCAGATCTGGGTATTATTAAGAGAAGCCAGTCCAGCCGCCTCCCCCAGCAGCCTAATGACTCCTTCATAAATGAGTGGGCCACCAGAGAAACCAGCAGACATTTGGTGACACCAGCAGCAGGGAAGAGAAGAACCACAGCAAACAAACAGAACCAGAGATTTCTCAGATAAACAAGGGCAGTAGCAGCAAATCTCAGCATTCCCCTGGAAATTCAGTGCTGTGTCACCTTTCCTAAGACAAGAAAGTGCTCCCAAGAAAACAGAAAAATCAGAGTACAAGAAAGCCTATTGGAAATACAGGGAAAAGTGCTCTAGAGAAGTAAAAAAAAGGTATAGGGGTCCATCATATAATACAAGCTCCAGAAAGAAAGAAAAAATATAGGGGTTAGGATGATGTAGTTCTTAAAAATAGAAAAAAAATTCTCTAAGCTGCAGAAGGATAAGATTTGTAACCCTTTCTCAATTGAAAAGCAGCTCTGGATGTATCCTGATGAAATGTCTTAACTCCTCGATAAAGAGAGTACCCTGACTCTGCCAAAGAGAAGGGAAATCCCAATTTTCCTGCAAAGGAAAGAGAGTCATCCTGGCTTTGGATTTCACATCAACAACCCTGATGGCAAAGTGAAAAATTAAATAATCCTTAAAATCTGAACCAAGGAACCAAGTGAGAGGGGGTGAACTCAGAAATTTAATGCCATCTAAAAGAATTTACCAGTAATGTTTATATGAAAATATAAAATGGATCCAAGGAAGGTGATAAAATACAAAGGTTGGCAACTGAGAGTTACCTAGCAAAAGACAGACAAAGCTAAAAAAAAAAAAAAGAGCGAGGGGAAAAGCCCACTTGAGTGAGGGCGGCTTGGGGGAGGCGCCCTCTCTCGGGCCCGGGGACCCTCCACGTCTACAGCAGACGCCTTTACAAAGTCCTCTCGGTGCTGGAGGCTGACGGGTGCAAAGCAGCCTGTGGAAAAGCATAGGAGACAATTTAAGGTTTAGAATAAATTGTAAATATTTGGAAAACTTAAATACTGGTGTATGACTAAAAGTTTAGTATAAGGTCAGAAATCAGGCTGTGGGGGACGGTAATTGTGCCAGTTTTGTAGGTAGGCGTGGCCCAGAGTCATTAAGTCGGCACTGAGTATAGGGGTCACTCGTAGGTCACATGATGTCTAACCTCCGTGTTCATCTGAAACTAACGTAACATTGTATCCACTGTACCTGAAAAACAAGACGTTTCCACCTGTTATTTAAGCAGTGAAGGTGCTGGTTAAAGTTATAATGGACACCAGGAAAGGACAACTGAGTTTCAGTCTTCCCCAGGCGGCGGTTTCTGAAAGAGTCGGGCTGTGGAAGGAAGGGGCCCGGGTGCGAACGAGGGAGGATTTCATCATCGTTATTCAAAGCAAAGACGTGCAGTATGCCATTTCCCCTGTGTGTTTTACAGGTTGCAGCGGGGCCAGCAGGCGTGGTTTGGGTTGGTTTGTGCAGGTCCCACTGGGGCTTCCGGCACTGTCACCTCCCTTCCTTCGGTCCTGTCGCCTCTCCGTGAAGACCAGCCTGCTGTGCGCGTCCTGGCTCCGGCTCCCGCTCTTCCAGATTTGCTCCGTGGGACACCCGTCACCAGGTAATCTGCCCCTCCGTAACCCCTGCGCTACCCTGTGCGGATGGATGGCCCCTTCCCCTTTCCCTAATCCCCGACTGTCTTTATAGAGGAATCTGCACTCTCGTCCTTAGTCACCCTTTCAGTCCCCACCACTCTCAGGCCCAGTGCAGAGTGACCAGCTCTCTTCACAGCCAGCAGGTCACTCACCTGCCACTTCGCCAGCCTCCGCTCACCTCCGCGTCTCCAAAAGCAAAGCCTTCCTTTCCATTCCTGTCCTGCACAGCATCTATAGGGTTTTAAACTGGGGCCTGAGAATGAATCCTACTGGGGTTCCCAATTTCCGGTGACTTCTTTAAAATTTGGTGTTTCATTTTCATAATGTTAAAAGAATAAAGTTCTTCAGAATAATGTGGACAGTGGCCTTGTACCAGCACTCCCAGCTCAGTAGCCACCACCTGCAGGGAGCTAGGTGATGTTTCTAGCGCCAGCCTGCCCATGCCTCCTTCATCTCCACCGTCGGCTTCAACCAGGTTGCTGTAGGTTTATTCCCTGTACTGCATTTTCTGCTTGTAGGAATATGTATTCACTCAGTATGTTGGTCCTGTGGTATGAGTATCCCACTGTTTGCTTGTCATTTCTACTGTGAGCATGCGGACTGTTTTCATTACCTGGCTTTAGGAACAATGTGGGGCTGTTACTTGTTGCCCTTTCCTCACCTGGGGTCCAGGGACCTGTTGCTCTCTACCTGTCACTCAGCTGGGAATGGCATCATTACAGTAGATTCATGCCCCTCCCAGTGTCTTCTCTTTTTTAAAAATATTGAGATATATTTATTGAAATATAACTCACCCAATGAAAGTGTACAATTCACTGGTTTCTAGCATATTCATGGGGCTGTGCAGTCATCACTCAACAGTCTTAGGATGCTTTCGTCACTGCACAGGGAACCCTGTGGCAATATCAGTCTCTTCTCATTCACCCCAAATGCCCACCCATTCTCATCCCTAGGCAACCACAGACACATTTTATGTATTTATAGATTTACAATTCTGCACACGTCATGTAAATACAATCAGACAACATGTGTGCCTTTGTTACTGACGTCCTTCACTTGGCATGATGCTTCCAGTTCCTCCTCCATGTTGTAGCACCCTCCCGTATTTCATATCTCTATTGCCGAACAATACTCATTGTATGGATAGACCACATTTCACTTACCCATTGTTACTTATTGCATGTTTCCACTTTTTAGCTATTATGAGTAATGTTGCTGTGAACATTCCTGTACAGTATTTTTGTGCATGGCTATGTTTTTATTTGCTTAGAAGGGAAGTTGCTGGGTCACGTAGTAGGGCTATGTTTACCTTTCTGAAGAAGTGATGGAATGTTTTTTGAAGCAATTGTGCCATTTTACATTCAGACCAGCAGAGCACAGTGTTCCAGTTGCCAATACTTCTTATTGTCTGGTTTCTGTTAGTTGTTTTTTTTTTTTTTTTTTTTTGATAGC